CTTCATGGCTGGCTGGGGAATTCTGGGGGTTGAAGTCCACTCATCTTAAAGTGGCCAAGTTTGGACAACACTGGCTTAAAGGGTTATGATGTGCAAGATGCCCATCTTCCTCCTTTCGCTGGCTGCATATCAGTATAGCTTGGATTTCCAGTTAAAGGTGCAAGTTTTTTCTCCATACTTACTTAATACACCTCTTCTCAGTGTGTACACTTGGGATTCTAATGTTCTGAATATTTTAAAAAGAAACTTTCATTATCAAAACATTATTACAATCATCCTGAACTGGAAAAGCAAAGCTACATTTTTATCTGGGGAGAATGTCAATTATTCTTTCCCTTTTTAAGAAGTCCAGTCTAGGCCTAGTGTTTGAAAATGATTTGGTTGTGGCTGCAGAGGGTAGCTTTGGCCACAAGCTGTAGGTAACAACCAGTGGAATCCTGTTGTTCTGTTTTTGACTTGCAAGATTGATGTCAGCCCAACAAAGTAGAGCAGACTAAGAAACCAATGCCATATAGGTCAGGACTACTTCTTTTGTAACCGCTATAGTAACAGAATCTTACAAGTCTGAATGTGCTTCCCCCTCCCTTACTTTATCTTCATGTGAACTAGAGTGGGCCTTGTCTGAGATGTTTACTCATGTTATTTTCTTGGCCTGGGCTCAAGCCCCTCTTATCTGACCATTGCCTTGGTAATGGCTCTTCCTCCTGTCCTTCAAGGCCATTCCCTCTGCTGTCTACACCATCCCACATTATCTGTTCTAACTTTTTGATGTGTACTAAGCTTCATTGATTATCTGCTTGCTATTATGAAATATGACACCTGAAGTTTCACCCATGCAGCCAATAGATGAAAGATTGTACTCCCTTGAAAGGTCTTCATGGGGAAGTCAAAACATTGCTAACTCTTCTGGCAATATAGTGTTTTGAAATCATTGCTTCCCATAGCCTATGATGAAGTAATTATGGAACAAGTGGCCAACCAGACTAGCGGTGGGAAAAGACAACAATGAGGTATTAATGGCTGGAAACAATTGGTATATAGATTTAAGAACTTCACTTACTCATGATTTTTAAATAAAGAATGTAGACATACCAAGCACCTTTCTTGCTTGGTTGATACTTGGGAAGGAACACTAGTTGAGTGTCTGCCCTGGTATTCTTTCAAGCTCATTCTGGGAAGAAGAAATGCATAGGTACAGAAAAAAATAGGAAAAAGTAGTCTGAAAACATCTGTGGATTATTTGTCTGCATCCCAAATTATCATGATACACCCTGCTTTTGGCATCCTGAATCTCCGACACTGATGTTTAGTTTTTTCTAGTTGCATCCTCATCGCTCTCAGTGGAATGGCTAAAATACCTCAGATATTATAATTCTGTTGTTTTCTCTAACTTGAGTCTGTCTGAAAATGAAACTGAAGCATATGGCTGGCACAGAGACATTTAAAATAAAAGCAGATTGTGTTGTTATGGAGCAGAATCACAACTTAAGATTATCTTTCTCCTCATGGGAATTTTCAGGATTATCAGAGATTCATTCCTTTAGACACTGTTGTGTGTCAGATTACATAAACCCTGCAGTTGTGCTGCAGATTATGTCCAAACAGGGGAAGAAGGTATTTCAAAGTGCACTTCAGGATATGCTCTTTGAGGTCTGCAATTCTGAAGTGGAATGCTCTTGAAGTTATCCTATTGTTGTTTTTTTGTGAAACATTTTCCCTTCCAGCTTAAACTCCTTTACGAAGTGGAAGTGTTCTCCTGGGAATAGGGAAACAGAAAAGGGAATAGAGAAACAGAAATATTAGGAGGAGGTTTTGTTATTGTGAAACTAAATTATTCCCATTGCCAGGAGCTGCCACTAAACTTTCTTTCTTTCTTTCTTTCTTTCTTTCTTTCTTTCTTTCTTTCTTTCTTTCTTTCTTTCTTTCTTTCTTTCTTTCTCATTTTCTTGATCCTTTTGTATATTTTCAAATCACTTCTCTTCCTCGACTTGATGGTCTGTGAACTTCAATGGCATTGTTGAATCATTGTCTCCAAGAGGTGTCTGCCATACAGATCAGGGTGAAGTAGGAAGAACAATGAAGTGGATTAGGGAACTGGGCTGGACTGATTTGGATCAAGCAGGCTGAAATATGCCAACTGGATTCAATGATTATAAATGCAGTAATCTATATGTATTTATAATTTATTCAAAGAAGCAGAAATCGTTACATATATGAATCTACTTCTGTTCATTATGTGGAAACAAGCTGAGTATGTCAAGAGAAACACTGAAATAAGTTGAATGTGGTGAGAATGGGGTGCTTCAGAAATGTGTGTGACAAAACGAGATAAGAGTCAAGAATGAATGAGTGCTGAGTGAATGTGGATGGAATACAGAAGGGTGTGCAGTCTGAAAGAAGCACTTTGAGATGGATTGTTCATGTAGAGCAAATGAATAAGGATTAAATTGCAAAATAAATATATGAAAGAAGACTGAATGGTTTAAGATGGGGAAGACTGAGAAAGCTGTGGTTGGAAGGAGTTCATGAGATCCTCAAAAAGAGAAAATTGAGAATTTCACAGAACAAAAGGCAAAATATAAAAGAGTAAATGGAGACTTTAAAAGCAAGGATGCTTTTTAAGTGTAGAAAAATACAGAAAGATATAGTGAAAACTGTAAACTAGTTTTAGTTACGTTTCCTTTTGTTTTTCTTATCTCAGGACTTTACTACGCTTGGCTTAGTATTTCACTACATATTTCCCATTACATATAAATTAGCCTTGATATTATAGGGGTGATGTGAATGCTTCTACAAAGTATATTGATACTTGATCGAAAAGTATAGGCATGTTTTGAGGCTAGCTAAGAACAATATTATTTTCTTTCTATCTTTGTTTTGTGGGGATCGGTAGGCCTACAAGTCAAATGTTCTTACTGCTTTTACTAACATCTTTCAAAGGTAAGTTTGTAACCTAGATTTTTTAAAGAAGGATGATGCAAATCTTGAAATTTTCTGGAATGAAAATTCTTTACCAAATGGGAGATCATGTGTAGAATTTGTAATTTCATGCACATGGAATCTTTAACATTGCATACATATAGAGTCTAATAGAACTTTGGTGAAATAGGGTATATATCATTCTTAGAGTAATCTATATTATCAACTTTTTTGGATTAATATTATGAATAGTATTATATAAGTACCCTAAATAAATAAAAAACTATAGGACGCTTGCTCTTAATCTCTGGCCAATGCAAAACTCTTTTTATCTCTCTTCAGAGTATCGTGTGTACTGGAAGACTGGAATGGTATCCCGATCCAAAAGCTATTCATTGTATTACTTCTTGTGAGGTAAGAAATATTCTGTCTGTCTGTCTGTGTCTCTCTCTCATCTGCCAAAGGAACATTTAGGGCAAAACTTTTGTGCCTCTGTTGCCCCGCCTGTTTGGCCCTAATGAGGTCCTTCAGATTCAATCCAATCAGATGGTTTTTTATTTAATGAATGAATGAATGCCTACTATGTTGGCCTACCCACTTTGGAGGGAGGACTCTGAAAGCCACAAAAGGGTTGTTGACAGCAGCAAGTGGTCCCTGGGCTGCATTTTTACATCCCTGAGCTTGATCTAAACATGCACCAGAAATGTCTTCTGTGATGATCAAAGAAATGATGCCTCTTCAAACTGAAAATAAATGAATTTTCTACTGTTCCTGTAATCCATCTGGAAGAAGAAATCTGACCTCTTGAGTAGTTCATTCCCTGCTGCAATACTTTTTTAATCTGCATAGGATTCTTAAATTAGGGAGTGTTCAAATGTGTGATCTCGCACTGCACTTTGAATTGGTATAACCCATTCTATCATGTCTGGAAGTTCACTCATTTCTTCTTTCATTTTGTAAGTAGAATCAGTCTGCATTTATTTGGGTCAACTCTGGATTAAAATCTAGTGCTGATTCTAATTGCTGAATAAAAAGTCTTTCTCCATGTTCTTTTGTCATTTAACAAGTAAAGACTTCCTAAGGCATATGGGTGTGATGTCCGAAAGCAGTTAGCACCTTCTCAGAGAGATTCATCACAAAGTGTGGGGTTATATATATATAATCCTTGTTCCTAATTTCCTAGCAATTTTGGGAACCATAGTTCTTTGAGAAAAACTAGGGAGAGGATTAGTAATAGAGGTCTCCACATTTTATCAAATGACATACAATTTTAAAAAATGCTATGGTAGGTAAATTGCTATAATTCTGATTCTGGTGTGCCCTTCGTGTTGTGGTCCAACGAGACCCTTTTCCTAGTCTTAAAAAAATGGCAACTTTATGATGTAATTTGGATTACTTCTAACTCTTCTTTCTTCTTTGTCTGATGCCAGAATAGCTAAACTTTGTTTTTCCCCTCTGGCCATTAATCTTTCTTTCTGACTTTTTCAGTCTCTCTGTGCCAGGAATTAAGTGCAGTGAGGAGTGAAGCATGTGTAAATTCACAAGGAGGGTGCAAAAAAGGGGAAAGGGAAAAGCATTTGGAAAGTTCATTAGCCATAATGATAGTGGTGCAATAAACTTTGAATTACGGATGCTCCAGGTCACTTTAGTCTTGTGCTATCATGAGAAGAACAGATGGCACAGAAAGCTGTTTCATGTTTCCCTTTTTGGAACTGGCCTTTTTCAAACAAGGGCCAAGTGCACTTTTTTCTTCTTCTTTTTCCTCTCTCTCTCTTTTTCTTTTTTGTTGCTGAAAGCAGAATTTACACAAAGCCATCTTATTTTTTCTAATTTAATATTCTGGAACAGATAGTTGTCTATCAAATATGACTAAGAATTTCAAATATATTTGTTAATTTAAAATTTGCTTCAGTCCTTGTCCTGAGATCCTCGTTCTCTAAAAGAAATCTGGGAATTGCTTTTTCTTCCCTCCCTGCAGATTTTTCCCCATGGTTCTCTTTCACTTGTAAGAAGCTCCTCATAGGCAGATATTATATTATTCTGGTGATCAGATGCAAACAGAGAACACTACCACAAAAAGCAAAGCCAGTTGGAATACTGTCAGCTGCCAATTCCTGTCTTAAACTCAAGTATTTTGAATCAACCCTGGAGTCGAGTCACCTGAGTTACACGGTGGGATTCAGAGGAGATATCAGTATTTTGTGAAATCACCTCAAGAGACCAAAACAGAGGGAGAGACAGGCCATGGTTCTGATATAGTCTGGCAACTGTTCTTTTTAAGTTTTTGAGGAATGGGGTCTTCTGCTCATATCCCCTTGGAGCTCTTTCTAGCTACGATGTTTGAAAGCAAGTGGAAGTTGAGATGGGGAATAGATACAAATTGCCATGCAAGCTCTAAATAGTCATCTCAGTTAAAAATAAAAAGTCCCAAATTCTCTGCCAAACCCCATTTTTAGCAGCTTTTCAGGCCTCCACTCCTCTCCTCCCATGACAAGTGTGGGCCTTGGTCACCAGCAGACTGCCGTTCTGTAGAAAGCCTACTTGAAGGCAGTTTACAGTGTTGAAACAAACGTATATTGAAGTAGAAGCCTTGGCGTGTTACTGTGGGAAGTACGGCAGAGGGCTTGTAGTTAGAAAATAGAGATTGTAGCATATAGTTTGGGCATAAGGCAATAGGAGCTTTTAGAAGTATATGAACATGCATCTTTCATAAGTTTGGTGCAAGGGAAATGAGGTGGCAAAATAGGTTTATAAAAAATCCAAATAGCAGAAATGAGCTGCAGAAGGAACACCATACCAATAGAAGCAAATGTGGGCCTGGAAACCGGTTGCTCCTTCAGTGCTGCAAAACAATCAGTCATCTGCAGTGAAGGGAAGTGCCAGTTTCCCTGACATCCATGTTACAAAATTTGCTTGTTTACACATATGTATGCACAAAGGTAGGCTGGATTTGATGCAGTGAGCCCTGGATATGGCAGTTAACTGAACATCCCCAAAGGCAAAGAAAGAAACAAGGTCCTTTAGAAGCATTTATTTTATTAAAATGACTGATGAATTTAAATCATAGTTCAGGGGATTTAGAATCATATGTCCAAAGATGCAAAAACTGAAGATGTTAGCAGTAGAATTGGCCTCTTCTTTGATTACCTTCCATCTTCCCAAGCTTCAAGGTCTTCTCCAATTACTCGCCTTTGCATTATGTGTCCAAAATATCTAAGTTTTAGCTTCATTATCAGTGCTTCAAGTTAGTTTTATTTCATGTTGTATTGCATTATTTGTTGTTGCAGTCCAAGGTAGCCTCTAAAATTTTCTCCACCATTACAGTGCAAGGAAATATATTTTTCTTGGCTCAGCCTTTCTGATGGTCCAGCTTTCACAACTGTGTGTTACAATTGGAATGAGCACTGCCTTGACAATATATACCTTTGTTATTTATGTGATATCACTACACTTTAATATTGTGTCTGCATTTGTCAAAGTCTTACATACATGCTTTTCAGTAAATTCATATGACTCAGAAGACACCAGTAGCAAAAACATCAACAAAAGATATGAGTTTTAGATTGAAATCTAGGGATTTGGTTTGATTGGGTATGTGCCACAGCTAAAGCCAAATGAGTAGAAGTACATAATACCTCATCTTCAAGAGCTAGTGACTTTTTCAAAAGTCCTATGAGTTCCTGCTTAACAGTTAGAAACAGGTGTCTCAACTGGACAACCAGTTGAACCATCCCAAAATATCAAAAATAAGAACTGACCCTTATCTTTTACTCTGTCTCGAAAGATTCTGGTAGGATGTTTAGATGCTTGGGCTGAGGTTTCAGGGATCATCTGAGTAACTCAAGTTCTCCTCAGAGTGACTGCATGTGACCTCTTCTGGGATCCACAAACAACTTCTGCAGCTGCAAAACAGCAAGATTACTGGGGGTAAAGTGGAAACTTAATTCTGGCACTCCTTTAAAGACTGACTCTGGTTGGGTCGAGTACTAACCTCCTTACTCAATTCCATTAACTCTTCTCTCCAGATCCCTAAGGACTAAAAACCTAGAAACAAACCAGCTAATTTCTGCCCAAGTAGCCTTCTAAGTATTCTCAGAAAACTATACACTAGTTTCTGACTGACTTGCTGATCCAGTCATAAATTCAAATCTAATAAACCTGTCATTGAGTGTATATGATCACTTATTCCAACATCAACAAGAAGTTGAGAGTTCAGTAGGTAGAACTGCTTTGTGAATTGTTTTACTTCATCAGTTTGAATCAATCCATCCATTGTTTGAATATCCTGTCACTGAGCACTGTCTGGGGTGTTGAACCAGATAGATTTCTTGTGCCCATCCAGTTAATTATATTGGTTGATTGCTAAATTAAAAGGAAAATAAAACAGATTAAGCTAGATCTGTGTCAGTTCAAAAACTGTGTGGCATTACTGAAATGCATGTAAGGATCTCTCCAAGGGTTTTTAGATACAACTTACCTGAGTAATAATTTTAAGGCTGTAGTAATGAGACCATAAAGTTTTGTGGTTCATTTATCCCTTCATGCTGGAAATTAACCTTGCCTTCCAAATAAGTCCATAAAGGTTATCGTCCTCTTGCTTACAAACACTATATAAATCGTTTGTGGAACATTAAAAGCCTGGAAAAGAAATGGGATCTCATTTATATTTTTGCAAAAATGCTGTTTTGTTGGCACTGATGTGGAGGAGTAGCTATTTATTTATTTAGACTTTAATTAGGAAACACAGAAGAATGCTTTCTAGGCCTTGGTGGAGACTTCTCATGTTTGTCAGGGGATGGAGTTCAAACTGTGAAAAGCTGGGAATGATTTCCTGCTTGAACAACAGTTCAGGATCTTCCTTTTATCTCTTTTATTCTGTGAACCTGAATGGGAACTCTGTAAGTAACTGGAAAAAGATGGGTTGTACTTCCTCTCCTAGGTCAGAGAGAAGAAGCAACTGGGTAAAAGAGTTTGCAATACCTGTTTGTTTGCTCTGAGAAACAAATTGTCATGCATTACAGCAAGATTTATCATGTTATTGTTTGAGAGCATCTGTGTGTGCAGAATAGTAATATTTGGTGAGTACAGAAAAAAAGGAAAGATAATTCAGAAGTATGAGACAACTGTAGTCAAGTATTTCTGCTTTGCAAAATGCTAAACATTACTCTCTGTTGTGTTCTGTCTCTTCAATATATTGTTCAGCTAGAATCCAGATTTCCAAGAGCAAAATAATTGAAACACTAAAAGTGCGCTGTGTATTGGCTCTTACAGTGGTTATTTTATTATAGCATTCCCATTATATCAATTATGGTTTAGAGTTCATTCTGGCTTATTTTAGGTTAAGTGATGGAAAATCTAACTGAAGTTCCAAGCATGCCAGAATGTGAAGGACCTGAGTTCTGGTTACTTACCATTCCAAGTGGTCCACCCACCCTACAGTTCACATTACTTAGCAATAGTTGGGTATAAACTGTGGTTTGAACTAATTTGAGCCCATGATTTCCAACATATTTTAGGCATCACTTTATTATTATTTTTTTTGCTTTAGTTTTTCCTCTCATTATTTTTATCTTCCATTTTTCCTCCCATACAAATTTTTAACATGAATTATCATGGTTGCCCATGAATAAATGTCGTAGATGCCCAAGTTTATCCCAGCTTGAATATATTTTGGGCCATTTGAAGTGGTTGGGGGGAAAGCAAGAGTCATATAATATGAGGACAACTTATCTTTTCCTCATCCCAGCATCTCCTCTGTACAGATGCTGATCTGGAAGTCATTTTAAACCAGCATTCACTACAATAGGCAGTTGGTACCTGTATTTGGAAACTATATAAAATGTGTTTTTCTGGCTTTACAAATGAATCATCATCTAGGTAAACAAACCGTATTGTTTGGAGTATGGCAATAAAAGGGGGAGAGGGTCAGATTATCTCTCTCCTTAGTTATACTGGTTCTCTTCCTTACCTGCTGTTCTTTAGGAATTCAATAGAGGGGTGATGTTGCCACAGCATCCTCAATAACCTTGTATCTTGAACTTGGTCACAGGCATAATGCATCAAAACATTCCTCCTTGGTTACATAAAAGCAAGTTCTTTTATTATAGCATTTCAAAAAAGGTTGTAATGGTGACTGAACAGGGTCCATTTGCAATTAAGCAGTATAATTCCGCTGATGCTGAGAATTATTCCACATTTTTCTTAAGATGGTATGATGGTGGTCAAAGATGGCTTTCCTGTTGGATATATCCAGTATTTGTTTTGCCAAATCACATTTAAACATGGTAATCTATTAATGATAGCAAATTATCACCCTCTCATTAACTTCATATAACTCAAAATTATATATGAACTTGATTTCATTTAATTTAAGTTGACTTCTTTTGAATGTCATGAATGGGTATCATTTTGTGGTATCACCCAGCATAATCATTCCTTGGAGTCATTTGGTCATCTGTTTATGTAAGTCATGCACATCTGCATTTTCAGCCATGATTGCCAGATCGGTAATATGTATATATGTTTATTGATTCTTGTCATTGAAGATCCTCAATAGAGCTGCTTAGATTTCCTTTTTCTCTTCTTCTACAAAAATCTGTGTTACCATAAATTAGTTGTTTCTAACGTGTGGATGCCAGACATAATTGTTTGCTATGTTTTTCTCTGTTGCTCTTTGTTCACCGAATGCTTTTTTCTCTTTATAGCCTTTCCATGCCGATGGGTGGTGTGACACCATCAACAACCGAGCCTATTGTCAGTATGATGGTGGTGACTGTTGTTCCTCCACAGTCTCCTCAAAGAAGGTAACTGAGAGGCTAGTTATCCATTTCAGAAAAGGGAATATGCCTCATATACTTGCAGATAAGCCAAGAATTTTAGGTGCCAAAATGCGCCCAAAAGATCCGGTTTGGCTTATCCATGAATATATACAGTAATACTTCTTTAAAGTGCTGCATTTCCTATATATACTCGCGGGTAAGCCCATCCGCAGATGAGTCAACCCTCAAATTTTTAACCAAAAAACCATGAAAAATGTGGGATGGCTTATCTGTGGGTGGTGCATTTTTCATGATACTTTAGTTAAAACGTCGAGGCTTGGTTTATCTGCAGATGGGCTTATCCGTGAGTGTCCATGGTAACTTACATTTATCGGTAGAATCCTGTTCCAGGACTTCTGTGTATAAGTGGTATGCTTGGCCTGTTGTGTATAAATGTAGGTGAGGAATTAACCAAAAATGAAGATGAAGGGTTTTGTTAGTTTGCTTGCTTTTTAAACAATCATGGCAAGATCCTTCCTTTATAAACGATGTATTTTAGGTGGCCCAGAGGTATCAAAAAGAGGACATTTGTGTCATTTGCCAAAGAAATCCTCTCAAACGTTCAAGGTTGCTCAAAGGATGGCCCTGAAGAAGTTGATGGCTGGTGTAGAAAGCACAGGCAGAATTCACAGGGTCTTTTTCAAGTCATGCTACACATACAGTGAGGACAGGGAACTCTCCAAAAAGAAACTACTGACTGTTGGGGCAACACAAAGAGACCAGCCCATAAAAGTGTCTCTGGCTTTCCCTAACTACTTCTTGTGATACTAGATCTCCTTTAAGGGCAGCTCTTTCAGGTACTTATTGTACTGAATGAGCTCCCATTTCCTATAAGGCTATGGATGAAGACAAATAGAGCTCCAGGTATATACAGATTACCTTTTTTGAAAACATTTATCATAGTGCACAGGTAAAACTGGTGTGTTTCATCCTATGAGAAGTGCTTCATGAAGTGTGTTACAGATTTCATCAGTGGCAGAACAGGAGGGGTGTGCATGCTACATTAGATTTAAAAAGCCGCCAAATCAAGAAGACTCAAGGTGGTGTGCAGAATAAAAATCATAATCAAAACACACAAAGAGAGAAGTACCAAGGCACTGAGGAACTATGCAAAAAAGAATGTTTCAACCCCTCATCATCAGTCAAGCAGGATCACAAATTGGCACGGCTTCTGGCCTCTTTGAAAAGCCATGTTTTGAAAGCTTTTCTAAAGGAGAGGAGAATTGAGGGAACTATTTCAGCCCTTACACATAGCATCTCTCTGCTGATCATTAAAGCAACTCCTTTGTCATAATGCAACCTGGGGAAAAAAAGTTGCTCTAGTGGATAACAGAGAGAACTATCATGCTTTTTAGCAAGCGTGCCCTGTTAGGTTTCCCAAATTGAGCAGAACCTGTAAGCAGATCAGAATTTAGTTTCTGCCATTGTTGCATACAGAAATGAAACTATCTTAAGCCAGTGCTGCAGGTGGAAACTGATTTGGTTTTATTCTGTTTCAGTTCTGTCGGTACTTTTTCCCCTTGCTCTTAGAGTTCTGCTCTCTATAATATATTGGATATCATCTTGGATAATTTGGGGGATGAATGGCTGATAAATAGTTCTAGTACATATAGTTCTAATTCGCTGAGTTAAGCCTCTGTTCCTAAATGCCACCGTTCTTCAAATCCTTCAGGTTGTTCTGTTTCCTAATGGCTGTGATCAGGACGAGTGCACCTGCCGGGATCCAGCAGCAGAAGAGAATCAGTAGCAGCAGCAGCAGCAGCAGCCAGGACACGTTGTGCTGCCAAGGCTCAAAATGGAGGGAATGATGAAGGCTTGAAGGAGAGCATAAATAAGAGAACTGCAAAGGCTGAGGAAAAGGATTCAGGGGAAGTCTGGTCATAAAGGCCCTGCACTTGATGTGTAAGTGCACAAAGGAGAAAGGAAATTATGAAGAAAGGAGAGGAGAGCGAGCAAGAAAATGAACACTTTTACCACCTTTGGTCAACTTCTTTTCCATCAGAACTGAAACACAAGATAGCCTTGTCAACTCTGCTGGCAAACTAAACTGGATCTAAATGGAGCCTTGAAGCTTCCTTCCTTGCATTGCCGCGTCAGTGGTTTGCCACTTAAACTGTGTCTTTTGCTCTGACGTTCATCGGTATGCTCCCCTCTAGAGCTTGATTTAGCAAAGCGGGGAGGGAAATGTGATCTGTCTGCAAATATTTAAACATAATTTTATTACAAATCTATATAATATTTTATTTGCTATTTAGTAAGCTAAAACATGCTGCTGTGAAATACACTACAATAGAAATGCGGGGTCATGTAACGAACTTTCCCAGAAATCCAGCAAATTCCAAGGGTACCTTATAAATGTCCCAATTAAGCGGTAAATGCTTTTTTCTTAAATTAAATCACATCAGGCTGCAGAGTTAAAGTCATGTGTGGGAATGCTTTTTTGGTCAGCAGCTGCCTGCCCTCCTAGCACATGGAAACAATACCTGCTTTTTTACTGGGCATACATAAATACCCATCCCTCTATTTCCTAAAGCACAGAAATGGAGTAATGAATAGTAAGCTAAAAAAAATGGAAGGCATGAGATAAAAGAAAAGGAAATATAGCTCAATGTATTTTAAACCCACACCATTTACTATACCTCTCCGCGCATTTCTACCCTTCCAAATCATCCTTCCTTCTATTGTGTCATACCTCGCTTTATACTAGTTGGTTCTTTCAACTTCCCACCTCTTTCTTTCAGAAGATTTCATCTGCTCCATCCAACCTTTCTCTTTCTTCCCTTACTTTTGACTCATTCACTCTTTCTTCATATATTTATTTTGCAATTAAATCCTCATTCTCTTTATAAGAGCATACCACCTCAATGTACTTCTCTTGTATTGAGTCAATCAATGTTTATTCAACATCCATTCAGTCCTGACTCTGAAGACACTTTTTAAGCACCCCACTCAAGCTATATTCTGCTTACCTTCACTTGGATGTATCTCCTGACATTCTGAACTCTCACTTCCTGATAACAAAGAAGGCAGAAGCATGCTGTTAAGCAAAACCACTTTTGCATTTGACAAACATTCATTCTGCACAACAGACCAAATACTACCCATTAGCTTTTGCCTAGCATTTTCATCTCTTAAAAATTTTCTATCCATTTCATTTTCCCATCTTTAGTAAACGTTATAGGGAGATACATAAACTCATTTACTTCCTCTAGTTTTTTTTAGCATTTATGTAGGAGTAATAGACATGCTTCAAACACAACTACCTTGATCTTTGATACATTGATTTTTAAATCCACATTATTTATTCTGGCAGTCTACCCATCTAACATTTGCTGCAAATCGTTCACACATGTTGCCAACCAACACATTTCAAGGATTCCTTATACAGTTATCCATAAATACATTAAGCAGTCAATGGGACATGACCCTCTATTTATTCTCACACATGCTTATTTCCATCACCACTCTTACCACATTCAGCAGTCAACTTTCAACTCTGCTCATTCAAAACATCCATAATTCAAATTTATTCACATTATTATATACTTTCTCTAAATCAGTGAGTGCATAATTTGGTTTATGTTTCATTTTCATACATTTCTGCTAAGAAGCTAAAAACTGGTTGCTCACCCCTTGCCTGTTATAAAGCTGGATTGCTTCTTATTGTATGTTCTAGCCATTCAATTAGAATTCTGCCAAATATGTTCCCAAGTACACGTAACAAACTAATCCCACTACAGTGTGTTATTCAATCTTGCTATCTTTCCTTGAACAGAAATAGTAACAACATTCTTCCAATTATCAGACTCAGATGCAGCCTTCCCATTAAATGAGCCAGCCATTCTGTAAGCAAATCACATCTATATTTTAAAATTTATACCATCTACACCTGCAATTTTACCATTTCTCAACATTCTCAGAGTATTTATGATAGCCCTTTCATCATTTTTCCCCCTTGGACACTAATATTTATAGTATTTTTATATATATAATTTTTATTTAAAATTTTGATTATAATAAAATCCAGTGCAAACTAAAGAAAGAAAAGCAAATAGAAGGAGTAAAAAGTGGAAGAAAAAAGAAAAAAGGATGAAAAAAGAAAAGTAAGAATATAGTAAAGAGAAAAGAAATATAAAAAGAAGTTACTTCCAATCTTCATCACAAGTATAAGCAAATTTAGTAACTCTTCACCCCCCTCTAAGGCTACAAACATTTATCTCTTCATCCCATATCCCATCCCTTATCAATAAACAAATCCATAAAGCACTGTCTTTTCAGTCCTGGTGCCAGCAGAAAGTCCATAAAGGGTTACCAGAAGTAACAACATATCTTATTTTAACCTTGATCAAATAAACCAACTTTTTATTCCTTCGTTTTACTTCTAATAGTCTTAAATTTTAGTTCAATCAAATATTGTCATAAGATTCAATTTCTCTTCATTTCTTCTTTGTCCCATCGCACAGAGTTCTTCAAGGCTTTAACAAATCTTTTCTCTTTAAGAAAAAATAACCCAGGTCACTCTCTTGGTTTGTCATTTGTATTTCCCTTTTAAACTCAGCCAGTTTCTTTTGTAGACCCAGTGAAACATCTTTTTCTAAGTCATTATCTTGGCCTGTCAGTTGTAAATCCACTTTTGACACCATCTCTGTCTTGTCAGATAAAATTTGTTCTACATCTGTCATTTCTTCAATAATAACTTTTGGACATAGACTGTTCATAGAAGCTGACATCATTACTGACATTGTTGATATTGTGGCTACTGTTTTCTGATTTCATTTGTCAAAAGTCTTCTTCAGTATTTTCATTGTTATAACACTTTGCAACATTTTACAGGCTTGTAAACCTTTCCTCTACCTAAAAACTAGTGTCCAGATTTTGAAATGAAATTGTTTATCTTTGTTTTGTCTTGTAAAAAACAAAACACAATCTATTTCCCACCAGAAGCTGTTTGTATAATTAATTCCAAAATCTTATTGTAACAGTTTCAATATTCCAATTTTATCTGGACTCTTAATCCATTTACTGTATAACCTTCTAAGATCAAAATCTTATTTAGCTTTTTGCTGTTTATTTCAGATTCTTTAAATTCTTAAGTGTATGATTAAAAATTTTATTTCATTCAGGAATGAAGGCAGACTCACCCAGTGTTTTCAGACTTGTTGGTCTGAAGGTCTATATTAGCTTAGAAGTAGTTAATGAGCAATTTTTGAAAGTAATTAGTGAGGTTTGCAAACTTAGCGTCCTTTAAAAGGTTCTGCCATGGTGGTGATCAAGATGGCCAATTCCGTTGTCTCCTGGCACTCAAACCCATAGAAAACCACTGTCCTGTGCTCTCCTCATGAGGGACAGCCATCTGGAGCACATGTGAACAATCTCCCATCATCTCCTTATCTGGAGAGGTTCCAAGGAACTGGTTTACTCACTGGTTCCTTGGTCTTTGTCGTGGTCATTGGCTCCACTTTCACAGAGCCATCTTCAGTTTGTCATACATCCCCTGGAAGTCCGGACACTAATATTTACAGAATTAATTTCAGATCTACTCTCCAAAATATCCCTGTCATTCTTCTACAAATATCTCTAGCTCTTCCAACTTTTGCTTCAGCTTCAGCCCAAAATTACTCTGTGTTTTCTCTGCCTCTTAATTTTACCATCCCTTGCTCTCTTTTTCTCTATATGTATATTATACAGTATCTTTCATCTGTATTTTTTGCAGCAACTATTCTTTTATGTGCTTTTGTTTGCTTTTCTTTCTTCACTTCATTTAGCATTCTTTTTCATAATTCCCATTAGCTTTTCTCCACCCGCTTTTGTGGCACTCTGTAATTTTTTTCTTTTGGTTCCCACCAGCTTCCACATCTTCTTTTTATGTCCATTTCCATTCATTCTGTTTGAGGAGTAATCTACCTTTCAGTACTTTTCATACTGAACTTGTACGTCCTCTTCTTGCAAGTCAGAAAAGGAAAGGATAAAGGACACAGTTATTTACTAATTCTCTTTTAGCCAACTTTGTAGTTTGGTGTATAAAGATTGTATGTCTTCAGGAAATAACAGCCTGAAGAGATACCATCCAGGGCAAGTCCACTTGATTCTGCTCATTGTATATACTGGCCACATCATGGGTATTTAATGTATGCCTCCACATCTTCCTTCAAACTCAAGATATATATAATGCCTGTAAAGGAAATATGACATCAAAACCCAGAAATTAGAAGTTTAGCTATCTATACTATAACATCACAATATAAAAAGGAAAAAAAAAACCCAGTTCTTAACAATTAGTGTATTAAACTACTCTCCCAATCCATGTTTTATCTATTTAAATCCAAAAAGACAATTTTTTGAAAGCTTTCTGAATGGTCACTACTGATAGGCTTTTCCTCATCACTAGGCATGTGTAGATCAGATACTGTCTAGCATATGTAATATTTAGTTCATGGTGCAGAATTCCAGTAGGGTCGTTCTTGTGATTTTTTAAAAAACATATTTTGAATTTAAAAATCCATACCAAAATTTGTCATGCATCCCTTGAGTCTGACACCTTAATTGCCTCATTTTGGTCCTCTTCATCTGAGGATGACCATGACATCTGTAGAGATAATGGGGTGACTTCATCTCTTTCTGGCCCATCTACAATTTTTGAAGAAATTTGAATGCTAGTTGGACTTTGTATATGAAGATTGTTAGTATTGCCATGGACCTGCTGGGTACAAAATGCATTCCCAGGAGGATTCGTAGTGCAATTCTTTTGTGTCCCTATTATCCCCAGTATGTTACTTTAAAAGCCCACAGGAATACTATTTAGTTAACATAGTTTAATGGGTTAAAGGACCTGAACATAGTGAAATAGTTCAACACCCAGAAAGTTCTGTGTGGCTTGTGACCCTCTGTCTGGGTTCAAAAGCAAATGGGGGTGTGTGTGCAAAATTGGGGGGGGGCATGCACACACAAAGCAGGACTGATTCTAGGAATTGCTACTTAAGCCAACAGTTGCCTTATCCAAGCAAAGTACAACTGGGGACTCCAGCAGGGAGAGAAACTGCTCAAAGTTACCTGCAGCTGTAGCCAGTGTTAATTTTTAAAAAAGCATCAATTTATGTCATCTCTTATTTGACCCAGAGACTCATATACTGCATCTAAGTAGAAACAGGTATTTGAAATGTGATTGCACTGTTGGCTAATCTAGAATAAGTTCTACTGTCTGGATTTGTGTTCGCTAATATGAATTAAAATAAATACATAGGTAGAAAACAGTTTAAGAGGCAGAGAAGC